CTTCCTCCCCGTGTTGAAAAATTGGCAGATTAATTAAGGACCTGTCAAAATTTTACGCTTATTTCCTTTGAAACGTGTTTCGGAATGGAAATTAATCGCGAAAAGCGTGTGGTAGTAAAATTTACAATCGCCTAAAAATGGGTGGATAGCAAAATTCATCCCCGAAAATGGGTGGTAAATGTTTAAATTGACACAATATGTAACATATAAACTATTTCGAAACCGGAACTTCACTTAAAAAGTCTATCGAACGTAAGTTTTCTAAAACAATGTCAAACACATATAACTTTCTCATATACCGTATACACCTGAGTGACACTATTAAAGTCTATAGCACGCTAGACTTCGTGTCTAAGTTGTGACAAGTGTGCTACAGATAAGAACACATTCTCAAAAAAAAAAAACCTATTATAAATGTATACATTGCAAAAAAATATTTCGTGTGTCTGGTCTCCGAAACGCATAAAAATCATCGTTTATTTTCGTTGGGGGTTACAAAACTTTACATCAATTTTCGGCAACCTAGAGTGTACTAACTGGATCCACCCAACTCGGTAAGATAAATGGTTTGTCAACAGGACAGGGTCTTACACCCCGCACCTGCATCCGAGACAGGGTGTGCCATGTCTTAGCGTTATATTCTGTGACAGCAACCACTGGAATACAAATATCATTGGATGACACCACCTACAGATCTTATCCGGATGGTGTTTGTAACTTCATTATAAGATGATTTGTCACACCAACCGAGATACAAGACTCCTATCTGTGTTCTTTCAATGATCGATTGCATGCAATGTTACTAGAATGTTTTCATTATTTTGATCTATATGGATGAGAAAATAATGATCTAGTTTATCGTGCGATGAAATATGTAAACACACTTTTGATCTATGAGATAATTTTTGACTTATTTCGGTTTCTCATTTAAGTCTTTCCTATCAAAACGCATCATTTATCTACAAATCTAGAAATTATAATTTTTTTTTTTTACATTTTGATTGAAGAGATGATAATTTTGATTGCTCAGAATATTTAGTAGGACCAGTCGAAATTTAAATAAATTTTTATTGACGTGAAGTAAACATGTTAAAAGTTACTGACGAATCAAACCAGTAGGCTATTTATTACTTTGTAAATGAATTTATGTTAATACATTAAAAAGTTTATTTTGCTGAAAAAACTAGTTTAAACTCTCAATAAAAATTACATTCGACTTAATGTAATAAAATTATGCTCAAATTATGAAAATTATGGTAGATAACAGTAATAAATATACTTAAAGTACACATAATAAAAATACTTTAACATTAAAATTCATTATGACAGAAATCTTATTTGTAAGCCGAAATTTTAATTGAATATATAAGTATTGGAATATGGAACTGTAGTTTTTTGAAACATGTTTTTCATGTTAAAAGCATACCGCTAACGAGACTTCATCAGTTTCACTTTCAACACTTCGAAAAAAAAAAAAAACAGTTTGAAAAATATAACAACAAATAATTCTGGAATATGTTTATGAAAATTGCAAATTTTATGATTATTCAAAAGAATATAATCAACATACATTCTAAGAATATAACCTCGTTAAGTTCTCAGAATTATTCGGATCAATAAAAGAATTTTTCTCTTGTTTTACTAACAGTAAACACTACACCATAAACAGAAATTATGTATAATTTGATTTCGACTTCCTAGAATATGAATTAACCAATAATTTTGCAAATAAATAATAAAATTTTGTCGTATATGTTAATATGCTAAACCATAAATTCAATCAATAAAGTTTTCTTTTCATAACAATTTTCTACATTCTATATTGCAATATTTGCACTAAATATTAAAATTTAAAATAATATATTAAGTATAAGGTTAAAATTATATATTTTATAATAGAAGAGAAATCCAACGATAAAGATGCGTGTATTTATATTTAAGGCCCGAACTTGTTATGGTTTTAAGAGACCGTTTAACTTCTAAGTAAAAATAAAGTTAAAAATGTGAGGTCCTAACCTGATATTTTGATACAAACTTGGAAAGAATTGATATTATAATGCAATTATTCGCTTACACGCTTTAGAGTTAAAACAAATTACATAGGGGTAGATGTTTCCAAATTTTAAAAAGACAGTAGTGTGTTAATATCTATTAAGTCGAAAGATTAAAGTTTAAATTATACCATGGAAAATATTTGTGACGATACAATTTATAAACACTGTATTGTATTTTCGGAATGTCTATATACGTCATTATATTATTGTATAATGACATATAATCATCGTTCTTATATGTCTATATAAAGTAGCAACAGAAACAGCTTAAAATTCAAAACGGAGATTAAAAACTTGTATGATATCCATAATTTTATGGTCATCCATTATACCTTTATAAGATTCAATAAACAACAGACTTTATTTACTGAATCATCTTGTTGTATATATATATGTTACATCCCTGCTGCAGTATGTATTTTCATTTAAGAAAATTATACAAAACTAATTTCAAATTTTCAAAAATGTGCTTATACAAACCGTTATGAATATCGCTAAATATTCGAAATAATCGTATTTTTAAGAGAATTTTTCGTAAATTTTTGAAAAAGGATATCTTTTTCTTTAAGAGCCTATTAAGAAGAACATAATACGCCTCTATCAATCCGTAAACTTTTCACTCAAGCAAATTCGCACTTATAACTATAAAATACTTTATCCGGCAATAAATCGGCTCGTTTTGTAACCCAAAAATAGGCAATATATTCAAAAACCTCGAATATTTGATAATCGACACTGAAACGATCATCGTATAATGTCGATTATAGCCAGTTATAAAAAGAAATCCAATAAGCTGGAACAAAATGGAACTTAAATTTATCCATGAAAAATTAATAATTTAAAAAAAATTTATTATTATACAGTATAAAGAAAACTTATTATTGATGTAAGATACAGTAAATATATTAGTTATTAATATTAATATTAATATGTTGTTATCACTCGGAGAATCCTGTATAATTGTTTTTTTTTTTTTTCTGTAGCAGGATCATTTAAAATAAGGAATTAATTCTGAAAAAATGCCAATTAAGTTATTAGACTAAAAAATATGGTGTCTAAATTAAAGAATTTGTTAATCTTTTAGTTAGATTTCTCAATACTTTCTCGTGTAAATGAGTTATATTATCACATATGGTAATTGAATCGACAATAAACTTGTAAAGAAGCAAAAAAAAGAAAATGAAAATTATCAGATTTGTGACTTATTTTCTAGCAAAGTTACCAACCTTGAAGAATGTTGTAAATGATGAATGTTAAGTCAACTCCGACAAGGATTGTCCAGTTTTCGATCTCACAATACCCATACAAATGAAGTAAATAGCGCTTTAGCGACATCATTAACAACTTAATCAACCTAATAATCAAAATGCAATTCGTGCTTAACGGCAACTTAACGCCTTCGTGTTTAAAATAACCTTAAAAATATAATTTAAAAATTCCATAAAATTAGTTTTTATAGTTTTCGTTACAAAAAAAAAAAAGCCCAGATATCATCGAAGCAATGAATTTTTAATTATGATATTGAGTGAAGGCTTGAATTTATTTATATCACAATTTAAAACCTTAGTAACTTGTTACCTAGAGATAGATATTTAATAATAATAAACGGAAGAGTCTTTTATATTTAAGCATTTAAAATTTATTCAATAAAACTGAATAATTTAATAATTTTCACTGCTAAAAATATAAGATTGAAACAAGTTATGCATTGAAACTTAAAATTTTTTTTTTCTTATTACTAAATTATTCAATAACGTATTTATGAATACTCTGAATAATTTATAAATATTCTAATAAAAATAAAATAATACCGAGGCGTTTAAGAGAATTTAAAAAAAATTTTTTTAAATTAAAAATACATGCGATTTATATTAAAAATCACTATTTTGAAATTTCGGCATTAGAACTGATTTACCTCCGAAGTTACATTTGGAGCCATCTATCGGACAATTATCGAACTTTACACATTATTTATTTAATTAGAAACAATATGAAATAAATAAGGGGACATAAAATTCTGTTCTTCTCTATGTTTAGTCGTTAAAACATTTATATACTGTATTCAAGTAAAATTAAAATGTTTTAAAAAAATGTAACACGATACACAAATCAATTTTTGTAGCAAAACGATTTATCGGCGCGCTATCTTCTTTCATGTTCTCCAATTTTCTTCTAAAAGCGACTGCATCGATAATCATAAAATCTGCTACTTCAGCAACAAAATCTGATTATTAGACCTATTGACATATATTTTCTTAATGTAAAAGAAATTTTTTTTAATATTCATATATGTTAATTGATAACTGTGCATTAAGTACTTCGAAGATATAATGGATATTGCTTAGTGTGTGGACAAAAAACATTTATTTGTATATACTCCGAAAAAAACTGGTTATTAATAGGATTAAGAAATTACTTAAGCGTTAATTAATGCAATTTTTAATTTATAATTCAATTATAAGCAAGGTTTTATGCGCTTAAGTGTAGATTGCTGCAAATTGAAACTTTCTCGGATCGATTTTTAATTAGAACTAGATCTAACTCGATTGGAACTTGAGTGCGTGTTCGATTAATGATAATCATCTTATAAGAACCTTTTTGAATGTTAATGATAATCATCTTATTGATCACTTTTAAACTTATTAAACGAGGTTGCAAAGTTTTCTTTTGAAATACATTCAATATTATTGAGCAACAAGATATTTAAAAAAAAATTTTTTTTTTGTGGATTGCGTTTGGTTAGCATATTGAGACGGTTCGGTTAACAATGGCGTCTAGACATGCAATTCTAATCGACTTCCGATCGAAAGGGGTAGATATCAAAATAGTCGTGCCAGACGTTGCGTCATCGATGACGTTACTGAATTACCCCCTCTAATTTTTTTCGATGTATCAAGTTTTTCGATAATGTCTAGTTGAAAGACACTCCAGAATATTAAAAAAAGCTTCAAATATTAAATATTTATTTTCGTTATCATTCACTTCAAATTACACATCAATGTTTTCATCTATATACAAAACAATACATGTTTGTTATCAATGTTAAGTACAATAGTTTTTTTTTCTCGTTAACGATTCGTTTTATAGTCTGCAAGACATCACAATACAATATTTTTAAGAAATAAAATTTCATATGGGTATTTATAATACAACTAAAATTTTTATAGGAACAAACAAAAATCATAATTTTTTTATATTAATATTATCACAAGATTGAAAGTAAAACTAATCTCCAGTCTTTCTAAGAATGATTTAAAATAAAAACATTAAAATGTTCATTAAAAAAAAAATCACATTTTTTTCTAATTAATTGCATTTTTCCATTACAACACTCCATTTTTCTATGAAGCCAAAAATTATCAGCACATCAAAACTATTTCATAGTTTGGAAATCTATAGCTATGCTACAATTCAAACAAGATTGCTTACACAATTAAATAAAAAAATGGAAGCGTTACTATTTATTTCAGTGGGATAACTTAAATATCCAGATGGTATTTAGAAAAAACAATTGGAAATTGAGCACATTTGTTATAAGGATTGGTATAAAAACAGAATTATGCATAAAATGAGTTCCCGTTATTACATAACTGTAATTAAGCATATGCATATATTAATCAAACTGGCTTCCTTCAACTTAAAGGATGTATTCAGTTAAAACAAAATGTCTAAACATTTTCATGTTTGTGCGTTGTATATAAAAATGATAAAATTTTCTACGTAATCTTTGGCATTAAACAAGAAGATAATTAGTCGTAATGCTAGTGTCTATAAATTACTCAATAGTTATTTTACAAATTGTTTATGCTCGGGAAGAAATTTTCAGTTGTCAGCTATTGCATTAATAAAAACTTTATTGCACCTACTTTCTTTGTTTGCATCATTTTGCATTAAGCTTAATAAACATCCCATCTAGTGAAATGGCCAACATTAAAGAATACTCGATAAAATGCCAATAAAACATTTCTCGCAGGTACATTGAAGGTATTTTAAAAATTACTTTTAAAAAAATGAATATACACATATATATATATACTGTATAGAGAAAGTTATATACATTATGTTGTGCATAGATTTTGCACTCTATGATACATGCTCAGTGACAACAAATCCAACCAAAGAAATCCAAAAAGATCTTCATTGAAGATGATCCAATGTCCACGAGAAAAGGATGGATTGATAAATCCTTGTCCAGCAATTTGCCCCAAAGCATGATACCTAGTAAAATATATTTGATTATAAATATAATTTAAAACATTTTATATGTTAAATATATAATGAAATAAATTTATTCTTGTTAATAGTACATTCCATTATTTTTTATTAAGTCACAAATATAACTCATTGTATTTACAATATAATTTTATAATTAAATTTAATATAAATTTTATACATGTATAGATTATGTAAATTAAAAAAAAAATTAATTGGTATGTCTTAAAGAGATGACAAATTTTAACTGTTTTTCTCTGCATTATAAAATGATACAATATCATAAATTAGAAAAAAATCTGAAAAAAGTGTTTATTATATAAAATCATACATTAGATTTAGATAACTTTTAAACTGAATTATACTTAAGTAATAACCATTAAAGTTCAGGAAAATAATCTTCAAATGTATGAAACAAAATACAAAATCTTATGAAGAAAATAATCTATACAAATAGATCATTAAAGTCAATTAAACAAGTAAATCATAACATCATTTGAAATTTATCAAAATCAAAAGATGCAAAGATAAATTTATCCAAATAAATTTTTAACATCAAGTAGATACTTTTAAAATAAACATTTTTAGCTAACTTTAATAGTCAACTTAGTCAGAATTCTAAAATCCAGAACATGGATGCTTTGACCGTAACACATGATACAAAATAAAAGATTAAATTTAAAAATTAATTTAAATAAGATATCAAAAAAACTAATACAACTAAAAGTAAAATGATTAAATATATTCTAGATTAAAAATGTAACAAGTAACAACTTGATCACTAATGATTTATTCATCAGAAATGTTAGAAGAACGTATCATATTCATATTAATTATTAATGGTAAATCAACATGTTTATGTTGATTTTTAATTAAATATTCTATCAAATTTTAAATAATTACATGATAGTCTGATGATTTTTTTAAACCACCGGAGAATAGTAAAGGCATGAACAGAACACAAAAAATATCATTAACCAAAAAAAAAGCATTATATATATACAGTGGTGCCTTGTGTAACGTACTTCATCCATTCCACGTGCATGTCCGTTAAGTGAAAAGTCTGTTATACGAAATGCATTTTCCCATAGAAATACATGTTAAAACATATAATTCATTCCACAGAATAAAATAACCATACTGTACCATAAAAAAAATGAAAATGGAGCAGTCACCAATTATTCCGGGTAGTCAGATGTTGTGAGGAGGAGGTGGAGGAACACTTTCTTCACACATTCATACAGGTACAGACTTTTTACACATTGCAGCAGGTCTCTTTTTATTGTTTTTTAATCAGAGTCAGATTCAGGAGAGGCTAACAGGGCTTGCAGGGTCAACTCCTCTTGTTCCATCCTTTGTTTTTTTGGCAGCTGACTTCTTGAAAAACATGTCCAAGGTGGTCTGTTTCTCTCTCTTCTTCAACACCTGTCAGAAATGACGGGCAAGGGTGTCATTGTAGAGATCATTGATCCTGTTGGCCTCAGCTTTGTTTGGATAATGAGTGTTGGTAAACTCTTGAACCTCTCCCCATTTGACAAGGAAGTTTTTGTCAACTTTCACTCCTGATGATTTCTTGCTTTGTTTCAATTGAAATCACCTTTCTGGTTTTTTAGAAGCGATGATTTGAACAACACTTGAATAAATGTAAATACCCTGCACTGAGGTGATATACGTAATAAACAAGGGAGCAAGCCGAATCCCAATGGGAGCTCTGTACTTCAGATATACTAATAATATATTCTAATAATACTAATATAATATAAAAATAGCAGATTGTCATTGGCAACGTCAAAAGAGTGAAAACATCATTCGCACTTGTTCGCAGAAAGTCTGCTGTTCGCCTCACATAACTGCCGAACAGAAAGTCTGTTGTTCACAGCCAGTCTGTTGCTTGAGTCATGTAATGGTTAAACAGAAAGTTCATTGTTTGCAGCATCGAGGCATCACTGTATATATTGATATATATAATCAAGATGGTTGATAATAAGCACAGAGCCCAAACGATTAGGAGTTAAAAGTTGAAATTTGGTACACAATTAATTTAATTAAGGTACATCATAAGAATGCACACTAAGAAGGGATTTTTCGAAATTCGCCACCCACAGATAAGAGGGAGAGAGTTAAGGATTATCCTGAAAAACTTGGCCTCTACTGTACTATTTTAGATGCGGTTTTTTGCAGTTTTGCAGGAAATTGAACATATTTTTAGACCCATCTAAAAATTCTTTAATTAGTCTCAGAAGAGGGGGACCTAATTCTTGCACTCAGTGAAAACAGGTAAGATTGGCTATAATCTAATAATCTTAATATTTGCTATCGTTACTTTTTGCCTGAGCAATGCTGAACTCATCTGCTAGTCAAATATATAAAATAAGTTAGACTTAGGACTGAGTTTAATATTTATTTTAAAAAATGGAAATATTCTCTGATTCTATCCTATGCAGTGATGACAAATTACTTTCTAGAAAAATACAAAACATTAAAAGTACTGTACATAAATCAGAAGTAATTAAGAAGAAGAAAAAAATTTCCAGGAATTTTTTGTTTATGTAAACAGCTTCAAAATATTTACTTAAGCCAAATCTAAAATTCTAAGTATATCTGTTGTGCCAAGAATAAGAATTTTGGTAATTTATAAAAATATATTAAAAAAATTTAATATTTTCTATAAACAATTTTCATATAATATAAACAAGATAATAACACTAAGCAGGAAAAAATACAGTGATATTCAGTTTTTGTGGATAATCCATCCAAAAATAATCTGTGAAATCTGAAACAACAAAAACAGAGGCAATTATTTCCATACGAACCAATGTAAATCCAATTAATTGGTTCTAGACACTCCAAAATATGTACCAAAAGCACACTTTATAGAGAATAAATATACTATTTAATGCTAAAAACAATAAGAAATTAATATAAAATGAATATAAAAGTGGCCAGTTTCAGCAATCTTAATGTCGCTCGTATTTTTCAATGATTTCCTTCTTCAACTCATTTGTTTTTTTTTTTTTGTCTTCTTCTTCGAAGGGCTGCTGGCTCTGGAATATTTTCTTGGTCCCATGATGGAGCTAAAATCAAAGGAAAGCAATGGAATTGTTTGGCTAGACGTGCAAGGTAATGTTCACACAAAGAGAAACATCGTCACACCGAGCAGGAAAATGAGTAGGCCGCCCTTTGTTTTTTGCAAAATTACCATGTGGTCACGTCGACAAATCAGACAAATTTTTCGCAAAAAAAAAAAAAAAAAAATCAACAAAAACCAAAACCAATGATAACTGAAGTCAACAAAAACTAAGGTATTACTGTAAAATAGAAAAACAGTAGTAGTAAATAATATTATCACTAAATGGTTTTGACAATTTGAATCATAGTGAAGGTAATTACAAGAAAAAGTTTGTTTAGTAATGCATTAAGGAATACAAATTTTCACAAATTTTTTAAAAGCAAATTATATTTAATATAATATTCAAATTCAGATTTTTTATTAAATAGTAATAGGGAATAATTCCCAATAGAGAGATAAGTGACATAAACTTAGAAGAAATATATAATTTAATCTATAAAATAAAATTGCATTTCTGTGGAATAACTGAATAAAAACTGACAGAAATACATTGACTCAAATTCTGTCAGAGAGTCCTTTGATATGATAATTCTTCTTACATTCAACACAGATGGAAAATATATGTCTGGACATAGAGCTTTATGGAATCACAAAAAATTCTGAATTCTAAAATTCTTTACTATTAAATAGAAGTTGTTCAGTCTCAAATGCAAATATAGTCTTTTGATATTAAATGATGCTTGATAATAGATATAACTACTAAAAAAAATGAAAAAGTTGCTATTTGAATACCAACTATGAAATCATGAATTTTCTAAACTATTTGATTCATGTGCAATTAAATTATTAAACACAATTATTAAATTATTTGGTTAATCATTATTATTAGACAATATTGAATAACTGAAATTCCAATCATTAGCTGATAAAAAAAAAATGAGTGACATTCCATATCTTGCTAAAATAATAGAAAATTTTGAAAACCATTTTTTCTATATTGACTTTTCTCTAATAAAACTTTTAATTGATCTAAGTTATTTTTATTATCAAAATATTGTAAATTATATTTAATGTAAGATGGTATTAACCAAATTAAACAATTAATTTCATTGATTCTTCAAATTTAGTCAATATTCAATCTTACATCTGTTATAGTTACAAATCTTATAACTGTAGTTGCATTTATGTTTTCAAATGTCAAACACTATCTTGTCCTATAACATATGATCAATTCATTTCTTCTATCCAATCCAATCAAGTATTAATTTCTAAACAAGTCACTAAAATACATAATCATACTAATTAGAAAACTTTTTCATTAGAGATCATCCAATTCTTCATTCATATACTTGAAATGAACACTTATTCATAACTGGCTTTATTCTATATGTTTAAAATTAGAGCTTATTTGAATTTTTAATGATTAAGTTTTAATAACTGTTTAATTCACTATTATTTGATTTAATATGTCAAATAATAGTGATTCAGATAATTTCAGATTTTTTATTTTTATGATCTTTCATTTAAGTTGATTATATAAATATAGACTGTATGGTAAAGTTCCAAGTCATTCAAATAAAAATTTTGAACAAAGATATTTAAAGCTGTGAAAGTGAGGTATTAGTATGATAAAATGACTAAACACTACCAGATGAGACTGATAACAGTGCCTTTTAGCAATAAAATTTGATAGTTTCGGAGATAGGAACACTAACTAAGAGATATAGAAAAAAAGCAAATGAGAAAGGTGCAGAGCATCATCAAATTAGTAATAAATGACATTTCAGTAATGAACAATGCAAACAGAAGGCTGAAAACTATGCACAATGTCATCATTTGTACAAGAGCAGTACACTCTCACATATGCAAAAGAAGGCTGTGATGTGAAACTGCCCTTAAAGATAAAACTCGAACATCACAAGATGCAAGTTATAAT